CGTTTCACAGGAATATTAATAATATCCGCTGATTGATTAGAGACTGTAGGTGTGACATGTGAAAAATCTGTGTTTTCTCTGTTCGTTCTCGGTCGAGTTCGACTTCCTCGCACAGTACTAGATACTGGCTGTCCGGATTCCTCTATGTTGCGTTCTCGGTTGGCACATAGTTTCCAAATTACACTTCCTATGACAATGCATCCCAAAATAGATCCTGTCATGAATATGAATTCTCGAGTAATCCAACACAAAAATTCGCCAGGGAAAAATTTGTAAATCACAGCTATCACTGAAACACACAGTAAACTCACATACATCCAGAATTTTAACATATTTCCCCATCCCTTAGGACGTTCCACTTCGGGTGTCAATTGCACCTCCGTTCCCGGAGTACGTAAATCAAAGTCGGGTGTACGACAAATTGGAGTTTCCGCTTCCTCAAATTCCGTCAACAAATTTCTTCGCACTGAAGTTCGTGGGGCCCTAGGAGTCTCCGCACTTCGTATAGTTTCCATATCTAACTTGTATATCTCAGGTTGTTTAAATAGCAATGTCAATATCACTGCAATGTGCGCCACCAAAACACTACTCACAAATAAATCCAGTTTGACAAAATAATTACATTATTCACAATCACATCACATCTAATAAAGTTACACGTGAATTTTTTTTATACGGCAAGCACATGCCGGACATCGGTAGAAATAGCTCATAATCCCTTTACTTTCGATTATCAAACGATGCCGATTTTCTGTTTTGATGAACATATTGTAACAATTCGGGCACTCTTTCCTCAAATCGAATGGTTCAATCCTAATGAGCACTTTATTCCCTGAATCATCATAATCATAAATGTACGCCAGTCTCTGGTTCGAAACGTTTCTAGGTAAATCCATAGTCCACAAATTCACTAAATTATCACAAAAATAAATCTCACCTGAATTGTTAAATCCTACTGGAATTATAATATCCCACCGGCTGCCACCAGCTGTAACGTCCGAGCAATTATCAAATCCATGTTTATTGCAGGTAGCAATAATATGTAAAATATAAGTAAACGCTCAATGCGTAATCCAGGTATTTAATTGCTCCCGGCGATTTACTCCCTCCTTGGAAATCAAAAGTCAGTGTCGGTTAACATTTTATTTACACACTAATCATAGTTAAGAATCATCCAAAATCATCACAACAAAACACTGTATAATTCATCCTGGAACAATTTTTGAGCGAAGTATATCCCAGCACAACTATATCAAAACTGCGTCCCCGTATCGAATAAGTACCCATATATATACTAAATGACCATCACTCCTAAGGAGTGATGGGGTATAAACAAATGACCGTCACTCCTAATGAGTGACCGGGTATAAACAAACTATTCTAAAAATAGAACGAGTGACCGGGGGTTATATAAATATAGCAGAATAATTGAATAAACAAATAAAATAATTAAATTTAGAAAAAGAGTGACTTGAAAATACGTGACACTTGTACTATTCAAACTATGATAACGAAATCTTTAATCATGTTCTTAGCTTGGAGAACATATGCAAAAATATATGCATCAAATATTTTCGTCTGATGTGATGTCATGCATTGTTAAATATGACCTAAAACTATTAAAAATTCAAAATTAATAGAAAGTTATATATTTTCTTTGATAATTTAACTGGAAAAAATCCAGCGTACGTCTGCACATACTCTTATGTATTTTTTAACATGATGTGTAGATTGATAAAATGAACGAAATGATTTGCATTTTGCCCTCTTTCTTTCTAAAGGTAACACACAAGCTCATTAGTTAGTGCTGTCACAGGCACACACCCCCCCCCCCCCCCCATCGTGCTTTGATTTATTTGAGAAATTCAGATTTATGTTACAATTTATACAAACATATATTATGAAGTTGTTCTTTGAGTACATTTAAAAAGCAAATATATAAACAATATATAAACAATTATAACACTGTAAAAAATGATAATTTATTTTTAATTACTTCTGATAAAAAAAAAATCATTGCGACAGTGGTAAATTTTAGATTTTTTTTAATTAAATCAATTTCGGAGAATGAAAATCAGGCCGGTAGCTAAGGTTTTGAAAGAGTGGCTCGGGTCCTCAAAAAATCACACACTTATCGATTTAATACAATAGTTATTATTAATAAATATGATGTTACAAGACGTTTTAATTTTGTTGAATTTTGCTCTATGATTAAATCGAGTCGTCTAAGCGAAATCTTCATATATGTTATATTGCACTTATTTCTGCGATATTTAATCTTAGCGACATAATTTTTACACATTATTTTAGTGCAACATTTAGGAATTTAATTTGGATATATCAAAGTGCATAAGTCGTCTAAAATATATCAGAAAAGTATTATTCATCAGAGATTGTTGTCATAATTAAATCGCCAAACCTTGAAGTAATTGTATTTGACAACATATTTATATCATAATATTGCGTTCTAAAACAACAACACGAGGCGGTTATACGTTTCCGTAGTTACTTGTCCCCCGGAGTTGGAATAGAATTCATTAAAAATGGAGAAGGAGGTGTGGGGTTCCTTTTCTTACAGGAGTTTGAGAGGGAGATGGTATCGTCATTAAATGTAATTCTGCGGCTCCTCGGGAACAATCCTGGGATCAGTAAAAACACGTCCAATTTTTGTAAAGTTTTCTTACTTCATAAACACAGCATTTTTAAAACATTCATTGAGGTCTTTTTCACCATATACATCGCACAAATACCAGAATTTTTTTTTCAATAAATCATTTATATGTCATAATTAATAAATTCAGGGTAGTGAATTTGTAAATAAAAAATGGTAATAAAGAGATCATTATGAAAATGACATGTCTTCCAAATATTTTCTGATGATGTTGTTCATGAAAATCCTTTTGCAGAGAAATAGAAATAAATAACATGTCTTGGTGCAAATTGCGCATTACTCAAGGCGTCTTGATAACTATTTCCATTTTCACTACTTCGTCCGTACAAAAATCCAATTCGTCGAATGAATTTTCAATTTGTCCGCACAAGTCTTCTAATTTGTCCGTATGAATATCTAATCTGTCCGAACGATTTTTTTATTTGCCCGAACAAATATCTAACTCGTCCGCATAAATAACTTATTCGTCCGAACAAATATCTAATTCGTCAGAACGAATTTCTAATTCGTCCGAAAAAATATCTTATTCGTCCAAACAAATAACTAATTTGTCCGACCGAATTTCTCATTCGTCAGAACAATCACCTAATTTTTCCGAACTAATGCCTAATTTGTCTTAACAAATACCTAATTTGTCTGAACAAAAAACTATTTTGTCCGAACGAGTTTCTCATTTGTCCGAACAAATATCTAATCTTTCCAAACGAATTTCTTATTTGTCCGAACAAATAAAAATATTTTTAACCGACTCTCCAGCGGCACCGTAACATCAGCAGCACTTGTACTTTCAAGTAAGTATATTGTGTTAAACGTTTATCATTTCAATTCTATCTATATGATCCTAAATACTTAATGTTTTACATCAATATAGAAAAATCTCAAAATAACCAGGCATTTTGAATTGTTTATATACAAAAACTAGTATTCTAATCGCAATTGTCACTTACATCCCCTTAAAAATAAAACTGCTCGTCCTCTTCAAGAAACATCGAAGCGTAACGACATGCAACTTTTTTACTATTTTACTTACTATTTTACTTGAAAAAGACGTTAATGGTAATCTAACAAGCAAACTATATGATGAACGTGATGACTTAAACTTTTCTATCGTCAACTGTCCTTACTCATACAGCAATATACCTTCATCGCCTTCATATGCAGTGTATATATCTCAGATGATTCGATTCGCAAGAGCATGCTCTACGCATGAACAATTTCTAAAACGAGGCAAATTATTGAAAAGCAAGTTAATGAAAAAAGTCATCATTTCGTAAGGTCTATGGACGATACCATGACCTTGTCAGCAAATGCAATTTTTTAATAAAATCAAATGCTTACTGGTGTTTTTCATACTAATTGTTAGTCCATTATTTATACACTGAATTGACGACGGATTTTGGTGGGTGTGGCCGGTCAGCAGGGGATGCTTTTTCCTCAATGGCACCTGATCCCACCTCTGATGTTTTGCAGGTCCGTGTTTGCTTTGTTCCTGAATTGTATTGTTTTATGGACTTTGATAAAGAATACTGTTCGTTATCTAAATATCCCTCTTTGGTCTGCAACGCATCAAGGTACACGTACATTTCAAAACTCAGCTCATTGACAATATTAAAAAAATAAAATATGTGATCGGGACAAACAAGCATGTCTATTACGTAAAAGACTTTGGTTTACTATAGTATGAAGGTTTTACTTCAGTTATTTAAAGTTTTTACCTTAATAAATCAAAGATTTTACTTTAGTAAATCAAAGTATTTTAACTGTTGATTTCAAGTTATTATACAGTGTATAATATGCTTTTAAATTCATACATTCTCTTTTTTAACATATCATTTATTTAATGTTGACTTGTTTATTCACAAATCATTCAGAATTATAACATGGTTACGGAATTTAGAATGATTTAAGCTTTAAATTCATAGTGTTTTGGACAGAACGACATACATACAGACAGACAAACAGATAGACAAACAAGGAGGATACAAAATGCCCCCTTACTAAATACACTATATTTTTAACAGCTATATTCCATAACTCATATTACCACTACAGTCATTTTTATCCACACTAAAATTGGGTAGAATTTAATTAACATCAATCTGTCATATGAAAATTTCCTTGCTTTTCAATGGTTAAAAAGTTTAGTACAAAAGCCGATATTTGTATTTAGCATCCATATATGTTCTTCATTAATACATCTCTTACTTAACCTTTCCAGGAAACGTGTATGAAAATTTGTTACTGACCTCAAAGATTAAGCATTACATATGTACTTAATATCTAAAGAATCAAACAAGGTTGACCAAAAAAATCGTACTGTTATTTCCAGCTACAGGGCCAGTGCCGGTAATAACAACGACCACGACTGCTCCGGTACGTTCTTAGCATTTTTGTATTTGCTTATTACACGTAGTAAGTCAAAATTACATGATTTTAAGATTTTTTATTGTTGAGGATGAAACAAGAACAATGCTTTCATTTTGATTTGTGCTATTATTTTAAAATCTTAGAATGTTAATGCATTATAAGAACAAGACCAAACGAACAAGTTTTTTTTCTTTAAGCCAAGAAATATTTCCTGTCATGCGTATTCCTGCCAGTTCAAAGATTGCATACAAAAGGCAAATGAATCGGCTTTAATCGGCACTTGCTACACGCCTGGTAACTGCTTTGTAAGTATAGTAATTATCCAAAACAAGCAAAAAAGAAACCTACATGTATACATAATTGTTAAAGCGTTGCTTTCACCCAAACAAACGAACACATGTACTTGAATTGGATATTTAATTAAAAAAATATAAACTTAATGACTAAAATCTAACTTACAGTATTCACGATTTGGTGAATGTAGAATAATATGAAAATGTTGATTTTAAAAAAAAAGAAAAGAAAAGGCTTTATCTATATTTGATAAAATTCACATTAAAAAATGTCCTATGGCCTTTAGGTCTCACACAAGGAAATAATTTCACTATATATCACTATAAAGCTTTGTTACAACGCACTTTGAAAAATTACGCACTTTGAAAAATTTTTTCAAAGTGCGTTAATTTTTGGGACCAGGTTAACGCACTTTGAAAAATTTTTTCAAAGTGCGTTGAATTTGGGACCAAATCAACGCACTTTGAAAAATTTTTTCAAAGTGCGTTTAAACTGTACATCATAATTTTACACCATGTAAACATTTAACGCACTTTGAAAAAAATTTCATGAAACAAAAGGAATTACACTTTTATTTTAGAAATAGACAACAGTATTATCCCCTCGCAACGTATGATGGGATATAGTGATGCGATTATGTGTGTTATTACTTTATGTGTATGTTAGTTTTTTCTGTGTGGAATATTGTCGTAATTTGTTTCGGGATCGATGTTAAATGATTTACTGAACATGCTTTTTTGGGAAGGAATGCTCCGCTTTGCGGTGCCCTTACTTTGATGTGTTTCTTTCTAAAAACTGATGGATTGAAGAAAACCAAGAAACGGATGACGAAGAAAAGACTGGCTGAATTAAGGTCTATTAGCTCAACTCCTTATCATTCCCACCCAGATATATCTATTTCTATAACTCGTAACTTTAAGTGTCAATGATATTTGAAAAAAAGAGCATTCTAATTACAGTATTTATAAGCACTGTACAAGGAAGTCTGTAGTAAATCAAAATTTTATTCTTTTAAATCTCAAAGTCTATTTATGTTCATTTTCAGGAAAATCAGAATATTAATTACTAGCTGTAAATTCCTTATTTTTCGAGAGTGTTTTTTATCGCGAACTGGCTCTCAAACGTCACATCGCTAGAATTATAATTCGAGAATGAACGGTTAATGAACAAATTTTACATAGATTAAGCACCAGAAAAATAAAAGCGAGTAATATTTTTTCGCGAGTGACACTTCTCGCAAAATTACGCAGAAATTAATTCCTCGCTTATAATAAGGAATAAGTACCTGTCTGCTTTTCGATGTTAATTTGATACCTTATCGATAATCTCTCTGTTAAACTCCAGGTATTTAAAAACACAAGTTTTGCCAAAATTATAGAGTTATTTCTTTTTGGTATCCCAATTAAGTAGGGTTTAATGAAAATTCATATAAATATCTATAATTTTTTTTAGAATCATTCCAATATGTTAACCTTTGAGAATTGACTAAGAGATAGGCGGAAGAACAATACTATCGTTCGTAGTTCTTTATGACATTGAATGTCGACCTTTTGACCCCAAATTCAAAAGGGGTCTTCCTAAGGCCACAGGGATTCTTTTATGTTAAATTTCATACAAAAGCTCAAAGGGTTGGCGTGATATCGTGTGGAAACGAAAGCGTAACAGAAAGACGGATGGACGGACAGCTAGACAGACGGACTGACAGATAGACCCAAATTACTATCTCCCACTTTTCAAGCGGGGGACAAAAAGTATCAAATCAGGTTCAAATGATAATTTATCATACCAAAGATTTGTAGGAATATTGACTAAGCCATGCAGATTTTTCTTTCAAAGTGCGTTAATATGGTCGATATTAACGCACTTTGAAAAAAAAATTATTTTTTCAAAGTGCGTTAACCTGGTCCCAAAATTTAACGCACTTTGAAAAATTTTTTCAAAGTGCGTAATTTTTTCAAAGTGCGTTGCCACAAAGCTTGAATTAAATTATTTAATTTATTAGACTCTCAGCAGAAAATTCATGAAAGAGAAAATAAAGATTAATGCTTAAACAAAAATTTGAGATCAGAAAAAATATGCCTTATGCGACTTTTAAGAAAGAAAATCGACAGTAAAAATACCTACCCCGAAATGCACGTGGGATTCACATGTTGACAAACAGCCTACACACCATCCAGGAAGTTGCATCATGCGCACCTGAAAAAAGAGTTCCTTTTAATTCAGTGGGATAATTCTGCTAAAGAAATGATATTCCTAGTACATGAGTCCAATTTTAATACTGTAGGCCTAAAACAAATTGCCAAAAATGAAAAAGAAAAAAAATTTCTCTATATATATGAAACTTCAATTGACTAAGTTCATTTCGATTGGCTATTTCCTTGCGTGAGACCTTTAAGGGTCACCTACGTACATTACAACACCGTAAAAGTTCTTGCCATTGGGCTTCGAAAATCACAATTTTAAAATAGGAAGTCTTGCTCATCACACATTTGAACTTAATTCATCGACTTAATACCAAAAAGAAGATGAAATTTTCAAAGAATTTGGGCATCCTAAGTAGAATCATTTGAACCTTGCCCTAACATTAAAACCCATGATTCAGGGGCCATGGAATTCAGAATTCTAGAGAAGACAACCTTGCTCTTCATAACTATGCATTCAGTTTGTTTGTTCAATACTCATTAGGAGAGGAGGATTTTAAATGAAAAGCTTTTTCCACTTAAAGCAAAAACATGACGCTCAACGGGTAAAATTGACAAATATAAATTTTTTGCATAACTCGTGTACAGAAGATGGGCGCATTTAGCGTGTGATCTGCAGGATTCATTTGTACGAAACATTAATGGTTTAAATGTCCATGATTTGGTTGGCTGAACATAGCTGGTCAGATTTTACAAACAGATTCATAGGGTTTTTTTCCATTTAGTTTGAAAGACCTTGTGAGATTGTAACATTTATGTCCATTTTCCTAGGGGGTACTATAACATAGTAATGTTTCACACAAAAAAACAACACCTAAAAAATTTAATGCATGATACTTGTACATGTACATTATAGAATAGAAGATTGAAATTGATTTCGCTCGAGAACCAACCTGAACCAAAATTTATCTAATTCAAAATTTTGATATACATCAGTACATAAAACGAAACTGACAAAACATATAGTTGTTTGCATGAAAAAATAAACGTCCTATGCCAGGCTCAAACCAAAAACTTCTCGCTTCGAGTGGACGTAACAGGTAGCCCAACTTACTGAGCTATCACCGCTACACTTTTAAAGATGGTTTAAATATTTAAATAAGACAAAGAAGCAACACATTTACACATTTGGATTTTTTGGGGGGGGGGGTCATTTTTGGTGATCTCTGGGTCTTCTCTCCATTTTTCAAATGTGTATTCGTTCCTTTGAATTGAAATACACACAGATAACGTTTCAAAATCATGAAGGGAAGACCCAGAGATAGAAAATTTTTAGAGAAACGTGTTTAAAAATGTACCATTTTGTACCAAATATCTGATCTGGCCAATTTTTAAGTTATTTTTAGCAAATCAAAACTCAATTTTGAGAAAATATTTTCCTTACTTGCTGCACAGGAACTAGATAAATAAAAAAAATTTAAATTTCATGCGACATGTCGATAAACCTCTCACTTTTCAATTACGCCCAGATTCCTGAAGAATGCCAATCAGAAGCACCCTCGTTTTTTATTTAGTTCCCCAAATTATTAGATTTCAGAAAATTACAGGTTTCAGAACCTAGAAAAATCTATTTTCATTGGGGAAAATGAAAGTAAAAAATAAGTTCAGTAAGCCCAATAACGATAATATAACTGGATACTTCTTCCTACTCAGAGTACGCATGCGCAGAAAATTTTGACTAAGTTAACCTAGTTACCATGGTCTCTAATAACCAGAAATGAATGTAAGTATACAAAGAATTTTGATGCAAACTGTTAAAAAAGTTTTTAGGCCATATTTCTTACTTGTGCATGCTCCAGTTGATTGTTGTTTACATGATTGAGCTAAAAATTAAAATTTGCCTGAACGTGGCATATAATAAAACATCGAAATGGTCGATTAAACCTTTGTTTTTTCCCGGCACTTTTATTTTGCAGTCTTTTCTTGCTTTACGACACAGTTAAGTTGTAATATCTTTGCTATATACTTATAATGTTAAAAGAAATCTTTTTGATATCTATGATCCATATATCTTATATTCAAAAGAAACAGATTTTGACTCATTATAATACTTAAATATATCTAACAAAGCCGCGCTCTTACACCTAAATCCCTGATCCTTGGGCTATGAATTTCTCAATATATGTAGTGAGCTTTATGTTATTACCTTAATGATGATGTCAATAGTTTAATTTCTTGATTTTTTAGAGTAAAGGCGAACATCATTAAGGGTTGTATTATTTCTTAAGGTTTTAGACCCATTCCTCAGGCTCCAAAAGAGCAGCGGGAATTATTTTCAAAATTAAAAGATGCGTTTCTATAGACCTATAGATACTGCCAGTCAAAACTGGATGAAATTGGTTTAGTTGAGAAGCTCTAAATGTTTAAAAGTTTACGATTGACTGACGAAAAATGACGAAGGACAAAAACTGATCATGACATGTCCTCCGAGTCACAATGATGAACTTCAAGCAGAAGCTCCTGTAAAGAGACCATAACGTTATGGTCAAAGACAAATATATAAAACCATAACGCTACAGATCTGCAGCTACTGTAAAGTCAGCATTTAGTTAAATTCTATGGTCGTTATAAGTTCCATGATGTAATAATATAACATATTTTGGGGTCGTGTTTTCATACTAATTGTTTTATATTAATCACGAAAAATATCTCTCAACAATATATGTACTTTAGACTCCCGTTGGCGATCTCATTACACTTGGGATGCTTACTATTCTTGGCACCTAATCATAAAACGGGGACTTTTGTGGATCGGTTCAATGTTACTTTTTGTAGATTTCTACTATGACTATTTGTGGATTTTTTTTTGGCAGCGGTCACTATTCTTTAAAAACATTTTTTTCAGTATCAAAATCTTCTATATTATATAAATTTTTCATAAATGTAATACATATAATTTTCCTCACGTGTTTAAGGCGAGGTACACATCAAATGATACCTACACGAAGGAGGAGCTTGGCTGTGAAGGAACAACAAGCGGCTGCTTAACAACTGCTCATGATAATAATGGTGGACGGAGACAATGCTGTACCAGTGACAAGTGTAATACTCTAACCGGCTTAAAACCTTCCACAGCCCCGAGTCTGTTCTACTCTTTAGGGGTCATTTTGTCATGCCTTCTTTTGTGTTTGGGCAAATTTTAGATCCTTTCTGTGGTACATCAATCTAAACTTATATAAGGCACTGATATTTTTCTCTCAAACAATTACTGTATATCAGTTTTTTTCGTGATGACCTATTTTTCGCATTTTTTGCGATCATTTTCCATTCGCAAAATATAAATGACGCAGAAATTACAACAGCTTTAATGTGATATAAAACATTACCATTTTAAACCAAATAAAGTCTTAAATCGTGAAAAATAACACGCAAAATAAAAACTGGATTAATCTACCCCTTTTTTCACAAAATTTCTAACACACGAAAAAAAAAACCGGATATACGGATATCCCATGAATCTTTGCTAACTAAATACATTTATTCTTTATTATAAGTATTTATGAAATACTTTTATCATAATATATTTCGATGTACCTTTCCTTTATGTGAACTTAAATTGTATAAACAAATGCACTGATGATTTATTAATTTGATATTTTTATTAATATTTTTTATTATATAATTTTATATATTTATTTGAATTTTACAGACAAAAATTTTTTTTTACAAAAAATGAAATTCTGTTACTGTATTAGGTACGATTGACTTTGTTTTGAAGTCCAAAACAAATAAAGAAATATAAGGAACATTTTCCATTAGTAACATCTTATATGTATATGTTTCAAACAGAAAGTAATTTAGAACTTTTTTGTTAGATTTAAATTCTTTCTCTTTTAATTTTTCGCGTACTCTGTTTTTAATCAATAATATTTTATTTATTTATATATAATATTTGAAGATTCCCGAACTGTTTTATGAAGTGTGTACGTTTGTGTCGCACTGAAAACGTATAAAGGAATCAATTGAGTGTTTAATTGCCGTGATTCTGGGAATTTTTGCTGTAGATAACTTTTTAGCAAATTTGCAAGTTCATTGCATTTACAAAAATATTTTTCTTAAAAATAAATTACCAATAAGAAAATGTAGTGGTAGTTCGCAAAATTTTGAAACGTAAAAATTAATCAACAGTATTTTGACCTGAATTCGCAAAATAAATCGACGTAAAAATTTCCAGATTAACGGTATGTACTAAATAAATCAGTCCATTGTCACACTGGGAATATGTGACGCAATCAAATACATCTAATATAATTATGTACTAGTGAGAACATCAAAATCAATAAAGTGTATTTTAATTAAAATCTTTTACAAAAAATTAATAAGGGTTACAAATTAATATTTTGGTTTCTGAATACATGTACGAGGGTTGTCCCAGGAAACGTGAACGTTTTGAATATTCCAAATACTTTTCAACCAAAACTAACAATATTTTGCATGCTGTTGAAAAATCATCTTTTTGATATTTTTGACAAACTATTATACGTCTGTGATGTCATATGCATATAAAACAGCATTTACAGGATGTTAAACATCGGTGGTCGCGCATGACAATTTACTTTTATATATAGCATTGTCAATGAAGTTTTCTTTTTTATCAGATAAAATGTACAAAAAAAAAAATAAAAAACATAAATTTCAGATTTTTTTCATCAAAAATTTTTTTAGAAGTGTACAAATCCATAAATAGAGATTAAAATATTGCACGCAGGTCTTTCATTTACTGGAACTCTTCAACTCCAAAAAAGTTCAAACTACGTTGCGTATGACCTTAAGCGGTAAAGCAACACTATGTTGAGAAGGGTATGACTCCTCTTCATGGGGAAAAGGATGTTAACGATGAAAAAACAGAAGCATAAGTATTGGAAACAGGTAAAACTCCAGATAACGGGGATTAAGGTTGACTTGACTGGTTACCCAATAAAAGAGAAGAGAAGAGATTACTTAATATAAAACTGGGAAGACAAGAGCGGGACGTTGACGTCATCACGCCGACGTCGAGACCGTTGTTAAACAATTTGATCAGTTAAGTTTATGATCGAAATTGTGAAATTTTCTATAAAAGGATTAACTCGGCAATATTTTGGTAACATTATTCTATGAGGTGCATTACTTGGTAGCTTAAACAAAATAAAATACAGAGCCGAATGTATGCTTAAATATTTTTTTTCGAGGCGCAGTTTAGCAAATTCACAAACACTTCGAGAAACGTTTTGACGTCGTCCGTGACTGTTGTGCCGACAGCTGATTAGATGGATTCGTTTACTCGAGATGATAATTTAATTTATAGAGATATTTCACTGAAAATTTTAGGCATAATTCAAAATAATTATGTTGATCATGATGTATGCCAATTTTTAAATTTATAGTCCTAGTGAAACAAAAGATATTGAGAATGATCGGGGTTTTCTGGGACAACCCTCGTATTTGATTCAGAAATTCATAAAACAAACTGTATATTGATTAACGTGTTTTGTTTAGAATTATGCAACGATTTCAATAATATATTTTTAACAGAAGTACTAGGATGTATTAATTCAATATGAAGTAAAGTTTTACTTTAGAGGAAATATTTTCAATTTGTCACGGAAAGTAACTAAATTAACTGTTAGAATTATATTCTTTTCATTTTTACCTATAAAGTCCATAGTAATTACATGTACATTAAAAGTGTTTTCATGAATTTAAAATCATATAGCATATCTTTTTTAACGTAATCAGTATTTATGAACAAATACAATTTCTATTCGTGCATAGTATTTTAAACATTCGTTGGAAGTAGAAGTCCGTGTATTTTGGAGGAAAAGTTATTTACGAAACCATTAAAGTTGAAAAATGACGTACATGGGAGGTTCGTGTCGAATGTCACGTGTCCTTTGATACGTCCTTATAGTCAAGTCAGAATGAAAAGACCTTATGCAATGGCTTGAAGGGTGTAAGATAACATTTATTCTACCGGAAGATTGTATTTCAACTTCAGAATATTTTTTTGAAAAAAAGCAAAGGTCACAATCTACCACAATTGTAACTTTCAAAATGTTGACTTCAAACGAGATAGTTTTACACGTTATATTACCAAGCTACGTACTTTGTCGGTATTCTTCCTAGTTTAAGTTTTTTTACGAAGAACATGATCTTACAGAGACCAGAATTATATGCAGATGATGATAAGGTTGTGTTATTGCAGCCCGGAGGACCGAGGCGCTTTATTCATTTAAGTTTAAGATTTAGTGAATTGGATTGAGGTCTGAGAAGTTAATCAGAATTAAAAGTTATCTAAACGTTAAAATGATTATACCTCAGAATGTTCTTTACCTTTATAAATTACGAAATACCTAGTATATTACTTCCATAAAGTGAATCTTTAAAAATATTTTTTTTTCATATTTAATATATAAAGTAGCTTATCATTCATTATAAAAAAAACGACATTTCCTTTTTATAACATTGAATTTTACTGATGGCATAAAAAAACTACGTTACACAGTTCTTTTTTTATATTCCTTAGGTGAAATACTGTAAAATCACATATTTTTGAGGGGTAAAATTTTCATGATTTGAGGAAAATATGTTGGTTCATGGTGATTTGATTTCGTGGTTGAAGAACTGGTCATTATTTATAGTAATATGTGTGAAAAATTGAATTTCGAGGTGGATATAAATTTATGGGTCTTTGAAAAGCACAAAAATCAAACCCCAACGAGGATTTCACAGTATATGAAAAGTTTACGACGCCAACGACAATGATGCTGTAAATGACAGACAACGGTTAAGTTTTGCCTTCTTTTTTAGGCATCCTCTTACTTTTCTGCTTCGCTCACGTTATCTTGGTTACCGATTGCTCTTAGTACTTCTTCTATATCAAATAAAGGGTTTTTACCGCAATGGAAGTAGAGTCAATATGCAGATATCGCAAATAATAAAATAGGTTGGACTGAGTATCGGTACATTGATAGTATTGTCAGTAAAGATTACAAAAAATCGGGCTTCTCAAGAAGGATATGGAGATAACGATCAGTATTCGGTATCAAAGTCCAAAAAAAAAACAATACAAAATAGTTGCACAGCAAGCAACCTCCGAAACATCAGAGGTGGGATCAGGTGCCATGAAGGAATGAGCATTCCTTGCTGACCGGTCACATGCGCCGTGTGCTCCTTGTTATTATCAGGATATCACGGGAAAATCTGTCGTCAATTCATTGTATAAATTATGGACTAACAATTAGTATGAAAAACGTCAGTCAGCATAATTTGTCTCAATGATAAATTGTATTTGCTGACAAGGTCATTGTATTGACCATAGAGTTTACGAAATGATGACTTTAAACGAGACTGTTGATATTTTTGTCTCATCAACTTGCTTGTTAATAATTTACTTCGTTTTAGAGAACTCAAATTTTAAGTGTCTAAAGATACTTTATTTAAACTTTACATTTGCTTTATTCGACCACAACTTGAGTATGCATCTGAATTGTGTTTAGGCTGTACATTTGCAGATATTGAGAATCTTGAGAAAGTTCAACTGTCCACTGCAAGAATCGTGACAGGTCTGTCAGTATTAGCATCAAGAAACTCGTTACATGTTAAAACAGGATTGGAACCTTTTAAAATAAGAAGGGATGTAGTTAAACTTTTAAGGTCATTGGCAAAGTAGGGTTTCCGGATAAAAATGGTTTATACCTAGGTTTTTTCACTTATAAAAACAGTCATTGAGAGTGATCTCCCGTATGGAATTCTCTAGGCGGTGAAAACAAATAAAGCGTGTGTTACAGACGGAGAGGTAAACAAAAACACGTGTGTTTTTATCGAATATATATAACTCTACAGTAATATAAGAAAAGCAGCGATGGGTTTGTTTACATTGTGCTGAGGGGGCAGACAGTCAACAAATCGTCATATAGAAAAAGTACATGTGTGCTGGGAAGTGCAGAGATGTTACATAATTATGTTGAAAGTGGTGATCGCGAGGTCGCTCCGATTCTATAGGTTATGTGAAGGGGAAGCATTAAAAGTTAATAATAAATCCAAAATGTTTTATGATAGTTCGATTCAAATAAAGTAAATTACAGAATAGAAACAAACAACCAGTCTCTTGATTAGGATTATGAATAATAAATAGATGTTAAGGGAAGTAACTCAAAATTAAAGAACAGTGCTGGTATTTCTGTGTTTTGTTTCTATATTTGCACATTTTTAGCCACAGTATATGCATTTCATCGGAAATGAAGATTCTACAATGTATTTTATGTATAAACTTTATGAAATAAATGGGTTTTAGGAAAAACTTATGGTTAAAAATGATATAGGCCCATTTTTCAACATTTTACATAGGAAATACATTGAAAATTGTAAAAACATTGATTTGACAAAATCTTTAAAGGAAGGCTGGCTTGATGAGATAAAAGGACCTGAATTGAACATCTTTAGTACCAAAAAACCTGTTCAAAAGTTCTTGAAAAATTTTATACAAAATCCAGAAACGTTGCCAATGTCCATAACAACGTTTAAATTCCACAATAACCTAGCTCCTAATTCTTAAAAAAATAGTGTTCCAGTAGTTATAAAAACATTGTTTCAAACTAAAATACTCGTTACTCGGTAATTTATTTCTGTCAAAAATATAAGCTTGAATTATTCAATAATTCATTTGTCCCCGATCCTATTCGAAATTGGTATTCATTGAGTAACGAAATAAGTAACTTAAACTCAACAGGA